CTTGGGGGCTCAGACAGTAAAGAAATTCTTCCTTCTGTCCAGCCTGAAATGGTCTTGCAGGAGTTTATGACCATTCGACCTCGTCATCCCATGGGACGCTCTGGTGAACAAACGTTCCCTCAGATCCTGATGGTCACCCCGATAAACTTATAGGTGGCCACCAGATCACCCAAGCCTGCGCTTTTCTAGGCTAAAGAGCCCCATGGCTCTCAGCCTGTCATCATAAGGGCTGTTTTCCTGACCTCTGATCCCGCGCGTGGCTCTTCTCTGGACTCTCTCAAGCTTCTCCATATCCTTTTTGAATTGTGGAGCCCAAAACTGGACGCAGTACTCCAGCTGCGGCCTCACCAAGCCTGAGGACAAGGGGAGAATGACGTCCTGGGATTTGCTTGAGAAGCATCTATGGATGCAAGCCAGCGTTTTGGTCACTTTACTAGCCACAGCATCGCATTGCAGGCTCATGTTCATCTTGTGGTCAGTCATGACCCCCAAGTCTCTTTCTTCCATAGTACTAGCCAGCATAGCACTGCTGAGCCTATAGACATGCTGCAGGTTTTTCCTCCCAAGGTGGAGAACCTTGCATTTTTCACTGTTAAACACCATCAGGTTCTCGTCCGCCCATTTGCTGAGCCTGTCCAGACCAGCCTGGATCACTCTCCTGTCCTCAGGTGTGGATGCTTTGCCCTAGAGTTTGGTGTCATCAGCAAACTTGGCCAGTCCACTTCTGACTCCAATGTCCACATCATTAATGAAGATGTTAAACAGTGTAGGCCCTAGGACAGAGCCTTGAGGGACCCCACTGGTCACAGGACACCATGAGTGACTTCTGTCAACCACCACCCTCCGGGTCTGACCACAGAGCCAATTCCCCAGCGAGCGGATCATGGTGAGGTTGAGGCCACAGTTAACCAGTTTTGCTAAGAGGTGATCATGAGATACGAGATCGAAGGCTTTTTTAAAGTCAAGATATATAACATCAATCTCCTCTCCCTTGTCCAGGTGATAGGTCACCTGGTTGTAGAAGGAAGTGAGATCGTTCAAGCAAGACCTATCCGTGACAAACCCGTGCTGGCTATCCCTCAGGATGCTGGCATCAGCTAGTCCATTAAGGATGGCCTCTTTAATAAACTTTTCTAAGATCTTCCCCAGGACAGAAGTCAGGCTGATGGGCCTATAGGTAGCTGGATCCACTTTCCTCCCTTCCTTGAAGATAGGCGCCACATTGGCCTTCTTCCAGTCCTCGGGCACTTCACCAGAGCACCAGGAGCTCTCGAAGATCCGTGCCAGGGGCTGGGCTATGATGCTCGCCAGCTCCTTGAGCACCCTGGGGTGTAGGTTGTCAGGGCCAGCTGACTTCAAGGTGTCCAGCCTCTCAAGGTGTTCCTTCACAAGGTCAGCATTGATGGGGGGCAGGGGATCTCCCTCACTCAGGCCTCCCTGTCATGGTGGGCAGAGGCATCCCGTGGGACTGGTGAAAGACCGAACCAAAATACCCACGTAGTAGGTTGGCTTTTTCCTGGGCATCGGCTGTCAGGTGTCCCATCTGGTTTAGCAGGGGTCCGATGTTGCCGTCGCTTTTCCTCTGGCTCCCCACATATCTGAAACAGGACTTTTTATTATCCTTGATCCTAGTAGCCAGTTGGAGTTCAGTTGCAGCCTTGGTTATTCTGGTTTGCTCCCTGCAGGTCTGGACCAGAGCAGAGTATTCCTCCTTGGAGGTGGATCCAGTCCTCCATCCTTTGTAGATCTTTCTTTTAGACGCAGGAGGTCTGCTAGTTCCTTGCTGATCCAAGGGGGCTGCTGTGCCCTCTTGCTGCCTTTCCTCCGAGATGGAATAGCCTTAGCTTGTGCATTGAGGATCGCTCCTTTAAGGAGCAACCCCTCTTCCTGAGCTCCCCTCCCCTGAGGTCGTGGCCCCTTGGGGCCTCACCAACAAGCCTCCTGAGCTTGTCAAAGTCAGCTTTCCTGAAATTGAGGACTTCTGTATTGCTGACTGACTTGCTAGCTTTACAGCGGATGGTGAAGGTGATCAGCTCACGACCAAGTTATAACTTACACTTCTGCTTACACTACCTCTAGCTTTGGCCCAGAAAGGTACAGCATTGCTGTAAGCCAGGGCAGAATGTGTTAGGGTGGGGGGGGAAGAAAAAAATCACTTCTTCCAGAAACAGTGGAAAACAGTGATTCACCTTGACATCCTGACAGCTCACCCAATTGTGGCGGTAGCCATAGAAACTGTCCTATACATCTCATGCAGCTGGTCTCACTTCTGGACCTCCAGCACAGTCTCAACACATGAATACACTGCTTGCTTTGGCTTTATCCCACCACACATTTATTCCACAAAACTAGGTAAGGGTTGAGTTTGGCTTTTCTTCCAAGGAGCATTGGCAACGTTGATCCTTCAAACGGAAGACGCACACATTTTACCAACGCCATCCGAGTGGGCAGGAAAAGGGTGTTATCATGTGCCAGAGGCTGCAGTTAGGAAGGCAGTGCATTATCATCTCCCTGCAGTTACAATCTTCCCTCTTCCCCCACACCTCAAGAAGAAATCTGCTGTTAATTTTGCTTGCTGTGAGCCCTTTAGACTAACAACCGACACCGACTGTGCTTTGCATCAGTTTGTGAATTGGCCAACAAAGGGAAACCACCGATTTTCTACCTACTTATCTGCAGCAGCACTAGACAGGGACTCAGGCACCAGAATTGTGCTTCTACCCCCTTCAACTCCGCAGGGGCTTTGGAGTACAGGCCATATCATTTCCATGTGCTTCAGCTTCATCCATCTGCAAAATGGAGACAGTTAAGTTCCTCACAGGGAAAGCAGACATTGTATTTATAAAGCATATTATAGATACCAAAAAAACCCATTTTGGGGTGTCAGTGGAATACAAGGCCCCAGAGAGAGGATAGTGAAAATGATGCTGAATTGGAACTTGGGCCACCATAGACACTAGTCCCATCCAAGCCAGGTCATCCAGTAATGCAGCCAAGTATCTCTGAAGCCTTGGGCTAGAGCTTCACTCCAAGGTTTTGCCCAGTTACCCATGCCTGAAAAGCACCAAAGCTTTGCTAAGCAGGCAGCCACTGAGTTTGGGAAATCAGTACCGTTCCACTCCCCCAACACAATGAGGACGGCATTGTACCGCAGAGACCGACTACTAGCTAAATTGCTGAACAGCACCAAGGGGTTCACCGATCCAATTTCTCTGGTAATCCAGACGCAAGACTCCCCAAGTTTTGGCAGTGTTTGGCTCCAATATGCTGAAGAAGGTGAGGGCTGTCTGACAATTTAGTTCCTGGGTAACTGAGTCCAGTCCCATGCCAGCATAGGCACCATCATCTTATAGTCTCCTTCATATGTAGATCAAGTTCCAGCTCAACTCCAGCTAAGAGTTTTGCTTCCCTTACTAGGGTCTTCCAGAGCCTAGACGGCTGTATCTCGACTCAGAGTTACAGACCTTTTTTCAATTACCAGCCCAAATACACTCGACCAGTTAGCTTTGTTCTTGTGCCAAACTTACCCTTCGGCTGAAACAGTATTTTTCCTTCCCTGGTATTCACCCCCTACCCTGATACATTTCTATAAAGTAATCATATCCCCCTTCTGCTTTCATTTCCCTAAGCCTATAAGAACACAAATTTATTTAGTCTTGTTTACATGCTACTTGTGGCTGACTTTAGGCCTCTCTCAAACCCAAAGGCACTGGTCGTTGACACTGAAAATCTGTAAACTCAAGCCCTGGCAGCCATGCGGTCCAAGCAGCTCTGAGACTAAATCTCCCAGCTTCCCCTTCCTGTGGGGTACATGAGTGCTGCATGCTACAAACACAAGACGTTGGGAAGCATCGATCCTGTAACTTCCTGCTGAGGATTTCCAGGCTTCTGCACCTCAATTCCTGCTTTTACAGCTCATAATTAGAGCCAGGTATGCCATGAGAGACAAAGAAGCCTACAGACCAATTCCTAGTTGGACTCTATTTTAAAGACAAACGTTATAGTATGGATAGATTTAGTGAAAGTTGCCAAGTAAGGTATGAGTGGATTAGGCTAGCTAAGTATGCCTCTGTAACAGTGTATGCAAGCCCTTAGGCTCATTTTGTAGGACTGACTCCTCATTGCCCATAATCAACCTAATAACTCTTCTTTGTACTCACTCCATTTGGATCCTTCTTTCTTGAATAGAGGGGGTGGTAGAGGTATCAGAAGATACCACTCTATTCTCAGCTATAGAAGAAGGATAGTATTTGAGGAGGAGGGAACGGTGGGAAAAGTACAAAAGACGTGCCGCTATCATCACTCCCTGACTACAGTTAGAAACAGCTGTGAATCTGCTTCCAGTTGAATAGCCACCTGGGAGGTCCAGCTCACATTTATGACTCCCCTTCCTATATGAAGGCAGAACAAAGTCCCATGGGCAAAATGATGGCTGCTCATTTCACTAGACTGCACCTATGTTTCAATGCATGAGCTTGAAACTTTGAGTTCTAGTGCAGCACAGGTCAATCAGGTCCCAGGCACAGCTAGGCCTGTGACCAAGTTACTTTTGACTGGTATAGGATTTAGGCCTGTCGAGGTTAAAGGTCTAAAAAAATGGAACCAGCATAAAATGAAGGTTACGGTCATTTTCTTTGTCATACTTCCCAAGACTTGGCCCAGCTTAGAAGCTGCTGCAGTATTCTCTCCTCCATGAGCACTTTGGGGGTAGGAAAACATGTTCACGAACTCAAGCCATTCAGGATGCGATGGACATTAGGTTTGGTACTTCTAGTCTCATTGGGAGGGGAGCGTTTCAAAACTAGACAGCTTCATCTTGACTCAGGGTTGGCCATGTCAAAGAGCACCTCACACTCTACTAGGGGAATGATTCAGTATCAATATTATCCTACTGCCTTGGTCAGGACTGAAAGGCTTGAGAAACAAGTACGGAAGGCCTTGATCTAATTTCCATCCAGTTCTACATCTGGCTCACTGCTGCATAAATTGAAGAGAGTTGCTATTTTTAAAGAAAGATTTCTCCTTTTATTGTTACAGCATCAGAATCACTCACTTTAAACCAAGTGACAGAGAAAGCAAATACACATCCCTATCCGTACAAAGAAGGAAGACAGAGAGCACAGAGGGTTACATCAGCACGTTTCTTTGAAGGATGTGCTCAAGGGCTGGTGACTTTCCAACTTCTGCCTGAAGCCAGCACAACCTCCGCCTGACAGGAAGGGGGGGAGTTCACAGAAGTCCACTCATCCTTTTCCAGAACAGATTAATCCCCCTCAAGAAAGATGCACACAAAACTACACAATGAGGCACACCAGGAGAGCAGGGATGGATTTCTGAATGGGAGGTGCCCATTTGAACCTCAGAGCCCATAGTCACATGCTTCAGGGCTATTCTTGACATACAGCTGCAGATAGCCTTTGAATGTTTGGAAGTCAGTCATTGTAGCCTTGACTGCAGGGTCCTGCTTCATGGCATCCATCCAGCACTTGAGCTTTGGGGTGTGGCCTAGACAGCTATAGGAAGAGGAAAAGCAATTAAAATACAGGGGAAACTGGGAGGATATCAAGGAAGCTGAATATGTAACGAGGTTCTGTTTGTTTTGCTTTCTCCCCACTCCCCTCCACACAAGGTTAAGTTTAAGACAGGTGCAGGAAATAGATTTTGAGACCAAAGAGCAGAAGATAAGGACATCTCCAAAGCAATCAAGTCTTCTTGATTGGAGTGCTTAAGTGCTAATCTAAAGGAACAAGTCGGTACTCCTTGTGCCAGTGATCTAGCATTTTACAGCAGCTTGATTACACTCTGCCTTCCCCCTTGAGAACACAGTAAGCTCTGGTTAATTTGCCACTCCAAGGGGAATGCAAGTGTGGAGTTATCCAGAAGCTACCCATTTTCATGGGGGGCAGTGGGAAAGGAGGGCCATGCACAAATACAGCAGTGGTAACAAACACTAAACTACATGCATGATGGAGACTGAAGTGCTGCCCTAGCTCGCTGGGGTGTTGCAAGGATGACAGCCAAGACTACTCACCCCAAAACTAGGGTAAATGAGAGCCATACAAAAGTACCCAGGATAAGCAGGTTTTATTTACTGAGGATAGTTCCCGACCTAAAAAAAGGGGGTCTTAACGAGCTGGATGGAAAATAAGATGGAAATAAGCTGGGTGGAAAATATGAAAATTCCCTTGAAACCACACAAAATTGGTGGGATGGAAAAAACCATGTTTCTTTCATCTTTCTTCTTTTTCCTTGTCCTGCAACAACAGACAACCCCACCAAGACTCTTCAAAGCTAAAAAAACAAACCAGGTGTGCTTGCCCACTTACCCCTGACCAACCAGGCGGTTGGGCTGCCTATCTGGGATGTGGGAAGTCAATTTAAAAGGGACTCGTTTTCCCAATTTGAATCAGAGCAGGGAACTGAAGCGAGTGCCAGGATCCCCTGACAACAGCTACTCCAGCACGAGTATCAGCAGAGGGGGAAAAAGGCCCATTTGTTCGGACCCCAAATTCCAGCTTTGTCTAAATAGATGTGTATAACAGCAACAAGCTGCGTGTGGAAACAATCAGCATTTTCCAATTGAAAGAAAAAGCTCTCGTCCCTACTAGCTGTCATCTTGCCCCTGGAAATCCATTTTCCAAAGACTAAGCTTCTTTTCACACTTTATCCAGCAATACCTAAATACAACCCATCATTCTGCCATTTGGACAGGGGAAATTACATTCTCAGTTGCGAAGCAGAGGAATATTCCTGGCTGGGATAACTTAGTGTAATTGGAAGCTGTAACATACTTGAAAATATGTAAAGGTCCATAAAACATCCAAGCACTTACTCATACAGCTGGAAAGCTTCCAGACGTTCAAACCAAGGCCAGATCAGGTAGTCAAACATAGATACCGAGTCCCCACCAAAGAAGACAGACTGGCGATTTGCTAGAATCTGCAAAGGAGGTAAAGCAATGTTTGCCATTAAAAATGGAACTGCATAGAAAAGCCCTGCATGAGACAAACGTGCCGCCATGGGAAGCAAGCGTGGGGAAGGGAATAGACAACGTGCCAAACACAGAGACAGTGCCCTTTTCCCCCAGATTAAAATGGACTGAGGGAATAAGTCACTAAACATGTTCTAACATTAATTTAACCCCTCTTGTTCATTGCCAACTGGGCTCAAGTACCAGTGTTGCCATAGCAATTATGCACAGGCTACGGAGACAAAAGAATCCAACTGGCGGAGCTGAGATTTAACAATATCTTTAAGACTTGTAACTGCAATCTAAGAGTCACGATATGTCTTTTGCTGATTACTGTTATCGTCCAAATGACGACAATGCCTATAAGGTTGGTTAAACTAGGATATCAAGTTGTCAGCAAGATGTTTTTATTGCATCCCTTTCAGGAATGCAGTTCTACTTGACCCGAAGCGTACCAGACTGAATATTCAGAGGCAAGAACTTGGCTGTTGGGGCCAGCCAGGCAGACGAGGGGGTGCAAACCAGCAGGACACGTACACCCTGGGACAGACCTGCCTGCACCCAGTATATGCTGCTGAGCAAAGTGCAACAGGAACAGACTGGGGCATCCATGTCCTGCTGCCACTGTAAAAAGCAACAGTCCTAAAATCTCCCATGGGGTGGAGAAGCTGAGAAGTGTTTGGAAGGCCCCTGCCCTTCTCATGAAGGATCTGGAGGTAGCTCCAGCAAGATCTTCTACTCCCACGTACTCCTGTCTTGCATACAAACATTCACGTTCATTTACTGCAATGAGTGAATACAAAGAAAGAGGGGACGTGCATCAGAACTGGGGTCCCCCCAGCCCATATTCTGAAAGGAGGAAAATCCAATGCCAGGCACTGAGGGGCTCTTTTATATTTTGCCTTTTTATTTTGGGGTTGGGGGAGGCTGTCGTCTAATTTTGCACAGAAATTAAAAAACAACAAAAGCAACCCCCCTCGTTCAACCTTGCGCAGTCGACTCCCTTCCGCCAACTGCCTATTAAAACTATCAATCAGAAAGCAGCTCATGAGTTGCTTCAGTTACCAGGTGTCCAAAAGAGGAAAAAAAAAAAAGCAAGCCAGATGCAAAGAGACTTCCACAAAAAACGTGCACATGGCTCCCTCTTTCGGTTCCCAGCAAGTAGAACAAGAGCATTTCAGCCCTCTCAGGGCTCTTCTGGCAAGCAGCCCTTGGAAGAGCAGGCTGAAGGGAATTCATCAAGCTGTGTCCTTCACTCTCAGGCTGGGCTCTCAGCCCTTGCAGGAGTGAAAGGAGCTCTCCCACACCTGTCAGCCCAGACCCTGGAAAACACTGGCATCTCAAAACCCTGTGTAGCTGTAAGATGCCTTTAATTCCCTCTGCCCCAGGCATTTGTTTTGCAAGATGTCTCCTAGGAAATAGCTGCTGCTCACAGGACCTAGACTTGTCCCCCATCAGCAATACCCAATCAGATATGCTAAAGCTGACCTCTCATTGCTGGATGCTTCAACACATCAGACAAGAAACAGCAGACAAAAGGTATCAGGAGATAAGTATATTCAAGTGTCATCCATACTGAAGTAATTGCCTGGAGGTAAGGCAATCAGCCAGGTACCAGGCTGCTGGAGTCTGGAAATCTCAATGGGTTTTTACAGAGGAGCAGCACCGGGGAGATGCAGTTCCTTGCTTGGTATTTGGTTTTGTTACTAGCAACCCAGTCCCCTCTTCCCATTCCAAATCAGATTTTTAAGAAGTAATTTTTTTGCCTGCTTTATGTCTAGAATCACATGTTTGAAAGGGACCCTGCAGATCACCTAGTCCAACTCTGCACAGAAGCAGGATTCACTGCTTCAAACCATGCCGGGCAGGTGCCATCCAGCCTCTTCTTGACAGCCTTCCACCAAGGAGATTCTACATCTTCCCTAGAAGGCTCTGCTTACAGGACACAGACCGATCAGACCCAGTGCTGGTCCATGACCAAACACTATGGAAATACAAGTAATAAATAGTGACAGGAAACCATGAACCCTGACCAAAGAGCAGAAGTCTGACATGAACACAGGCATTTATAGGCCACCTATACACGTGCGAGTTCATATTCCAATGAGAATGCTCCACATTCTAACTGCTACGTGTATAAGCCCCTATGGGTTTAAATATGGCCGCTGGGGTGCTTTATCTAAACCTCATCAAATGAGGTTTAACCAAAATGTTCCGCAGCCATTTTTAAACCTGCAGGGACTTAATACACGTGACAGTGAGGCGTTTCAGAGCGGCTCTCTGGGAACCGCTCTAATTATAAGCCCCCCCACGCCCGAGTACGTGTATAGGCAGCCTTAGATGCTGTGCCAGACATTAACACAAGACAAGGAAGCACTGGAGCAGCACATCTCCAATACAAAGGTCACTCTTTAGTCATAAAAGTGTTGGGTCTTAGGTGGACCCGGGGGGGGGCACTACTTGTAGTAACACCGGATTTGATTGTCTGCCACTGATCCAAAGTCATCTGTTAACTTGGTTGAGCTTCCATGAAGGTGATAGAGTTACACTAGTTTAACAAAGCATGGTTATTTTGCACTGGAGGGATTGTGTTGCCAGGAATAAGCAGGGAGGAAAAAAGCCAAAACCACCAGGTATAAGGATGGAGGTTGCAAGGTACTGAGAGAGACCAAGCAGTGGGTGGGGGATTCCAGCACTGGTAATGTAATCAGGAGGGCTACAGCAACACAAGAGCAGGAAGGCACCCCAGGCAGATGGACACGCTAATATATCCACGGATGTTCAGGCAGCAGAGAGTCCAACTGTTTTTAAAACAAGATGCAATACCATTTTTTTTAGTCCTGGAAGAATAGACTGTATACATCTAGAACAGCAGCAGTATTACCTGGAACTTGAAGACCAAAGAGCAAAATCCTTTAAGTCCATAAAAGGACCATCATTCAGATCTGATTTGCCTGCACTGTTCAGAAGCTATGCTACGAAGGGGCTACAGAAAACCTCAAGGTAGACCTTAGTGAGCTGAAGGATGAAACATTTAAAAAAAAAAGTCTAAGATAAACCATCATCCCAGTGTCTGCATAGAGAAGGGGGACACATGTTTGCCACAGGTCAGTTTTTGTTCAATACCAGAGCTCCATTTCTTACCTCTTCAAACTTGCCAAGCTTCTCACCGAACTCAGCTTTCAGGGCAGTGCTGTCCTCCCCATTTTGAATGGCCATGAAATGTTTGTAGGCCAGAGGTGTAAGCTGAACAAAGCAGAGAATACCCCATTACCAAGGACTGACCTTCTCGTGGAAGAGATTTTAAATATTCTCATTACAGCAATACCAGCATCTAGAATCTAGGTTGTTAAAGGCAAGGGAAAAAAAAAAAAAAACCCCAAACCATATACAAAGCTTAATATTTAAAATAACAACAACATTTCAGAAGAGACTAGAATAAATTCTCCATAATAACCAAAACAGAAAGTTGCAGGATTGCAACAGTGCTGGAGAAACAGAGGAAGGAAACTCACTCTTCTTTCCATTGGTTAGGTCAAACGCATGCCAGAAAACAACCAGCAATAACAATGGTGAAATGCAAGTTCTGTCATACTCTTTATGGGGGGAAAGAGCCACATTTGAAATTCCAATGTACTTTAAAAACTTCTTTTCCTAGGTTTAGTCCAAGTATGCTCTAATGTTAAGAAAGTCTGAGGAGAGTTATTACACACAGGTTTATTTAGCATTTTAACATTTCTTTTTGGCTCCAGCACCATTTTCCCGGGACCTGGCCTTTCCTAGCTCACATCTCAAATCCTATAGCCTCCTTTTCTCTGGCTTTGCCCAGTGTAATCTTTTTCCCATCAAAAGGCTGCAGCAAATCTCATTCTTAGCTTGTTGCTTTGATCATATTATTTTGCTTTAAAAACCCCGCCTTCCACTGAGTCCCCCCCACCTTCCAAATAGCACAAGCTACCCATCTTCACTCTCGAAGCCTGCCTGTGATCATGCTACCAGTCATCTCTTATTTGCTGTTTATAAGTCAACTTCGACCTCAGATCAAACAACGAAGCCAGCCTCCATCACATCCTTGCGAGTGCCAAGACCACTGCCTTTCATGCTGACCAGCAGCATTGCAACGTACTTCTCTCCAGATGTCTCTACATGAGATGCTACGTCGCCGTAGCAATGAGTTACGGCAACATAGCTCATTGCTACGGCAGCGTAGTGTCAGCGGGCATGAACTGTGACATCAACGCTACTGCGCAGTAGGGTCAGAAATGACCCGTGTGCTGCCGGGACTGCACACTAATGCAGTCATTCAGTACGAGCTAAAGTATTTGGTTTAGCAAGTACTAAACGACTGCACAGTAACAACTGCTCAGCTGGGCACACGTGTAAAGTACGCCTTGCCTGTATCTATAGTCTCTGGTCTTAGACTTAAAAGCTTTGAGGCATGGAGTCTTTTGTTCTCCATTTGTATATCATTTAAAATACATTGGTATTTATGGAGCTATCCATTAAAAATAGCTCCTACATACTACAGAAAGGCAAGTAAGTTAGTCCTAAACTGAATTATTGTTTCAGAATGAAGGCTCTGAAAGCAGCAGTATTGCAAATTCAGTCAGGTACCAGTCTTAGGCAGAAAGCCAGTGACCTTCTTAAACATTTTGCCATTGTTTTCCCATTGTGCACTGAGTCACGTAGGTTTTAGCTAGCTCAGTAGAGGCCATGAATCCCTTATTCTGTCTTTCAAGAGCTATCAAGGTTGCAAAGAGCTAAGCAGCATTTGACTTAGCAAACAGGTGGCACCATCATCCCACATCTTTACAAGAGGCCTCTACCGAGGACAGGAGCCATTTCAAGAATGTCAGAGTCGTGTCTGCAGTGCTGCAAACGTGCCCAAGGCTGTACTCAAGCAGGGTGCACCACCCGTCTCACATCACAGTACCTTGGAGAAGTGCTCCAAGAGCATCTTTTGATATGCTCGCTCATATGGGTCTTCAGGCAAGAGCTTTTTTCCCGGGTAGGCTTCATCCAAATAGTCGCATGTGATTGGAGACTCATAGATCAGCTGACCCTTGCTGGTCTCCAGGACAGGTACCAACCCAAATGGATTTTTCTCAAAGAACCAATCAGGTTTGTTCTTCAAATTGATGTTTATTATTTCATGGCTGAAGAGTTCAAGACAAAAAACACCCAAAAATAAACCATTGCTTCTGTAATGGTAGAGGGGGCAGCTCCCTGCCCCAAACCAACCAATGGTACCTAGGGGATGGAAAGAAAGCAAGGAAAATGCACCCATTTCACGGTCAGCCCTTGTCTTTTCAGACGTCCCGATAGTCTAATGGAGCTTCTTTATAGAGCACTGCCAAATCTGACACCTACCACACTAGAAATACCAAGGGCAGGAGGAAGGCGAGCAAGGGGACAGTTTTGCTTCTTAAAAACAACCCTCTCTCTCCTACCTTGGCAGTCTTCAAGAAGAGGCTGGACAGATATTTGGCTGGGGTGATACGACTGCAGCACCCGTTCCTGCCTAGGGCAGGAGGTTGGACCTAATGATCTGTTTAGGTCCCTTCAGGCCCCAAGCACTATGAAACTATTATTACCACCACACAGATCCCTTCCAAAAACGATGACAGTATAGTACTGACCAGCCAAGCCCCATGCCCCACCTGTTCACTGAAGCTGCTTGTTGTAGCCAGAGGCAAACCTGCTATACTGCAAATGCAGGGGAAGGCAGGCTGGCTGTCCAAGCTATAGGACTGGTTTTTTTAACAAGGCTTTCTGGACATGCCAATAGCCTTTTGGTTGCAGGAAAGAGGCAGCCACTTTAAGAGCACTTAAATCCAGGTGGAAGAAAATTCACGCAAATCAAAGGAAGCTTGTAGAGGTGAGAAAGTATAAGCCATAGTCTGAACCTGCAACAGAATTTTAGTCTGACCCATCAGGAGGGCAAGCAATTCCCTATTCTTTTTCCAAACCTGCAGCCCAGGAAAAAAGGGCAATTTGACTGGAGTAAAAATCCAGTATTTAAAATATGTAAATTTTCTGCTCAGTCAGAAAATTCCCTAGAGCTAGCTGGACTCTTGATCACCTGATAAGTCATTTCTCCTTACTGAAAAACCAACCAACACCTTCAAAAAAAACTAATTCAGGAGTGGCCAACTGAAAGCAAGCTATTTTAATTATTTTCCTGATACAGAAAAGTAAGTAGATGGAATGATCTGGAGTTTTAATGCTTTTGGTTGGTCAGGACAGTTCCGATCTTGGAGTCAGAAAAACATGAATGGTCAAATATTTACTGTATTTATGGGGATCCAAAATCCAATATAGATCTAGATGGAGCTGCAGACCTGGTAAACAGAGGTAGATTATAAGGTCTGGACTGCGTGGCCCTAGAAGTTCCTTCCAAGCCTGAGATAAAAACTATTTTCTAGTTGTGAACTTTGTCATATTACTTTGCCCTTTGTAAATCAGAATTACCTTATCTCAAGAAGGAGTCTTGTTAGGATTACTGCTTATAAAACTATTTCAGAAAAAGAAACAAATTGTGCCTGTACATTTCCTATGGAAAAAAAAGGTACTAACACCCATGATTAGCGTAAGTGAGCACATCTGTGTGCGCTTTACTGCACAGTAGACCAATTTGCTCTGCAGTAAAGCATCACAATCTACATGTGCGCTGCTATTAGGCCAGAGTAGACTAATTTATTCTGCTGTCAGATAGTCCTGTTAGAACCAAGTACCATCCTATGGCAGAGTAAATTAGCACAATTAAACGCATGTGTAGACACTGCACCTGGATTTGTTTACCAATCACAAATTAGTTTACTGAGTCACATTAATTGCACATGTAGAAAGAAAGAAAAAAAAAAAAAGAGGTGTTAGCTTTGAGTTTTCAGTTCACTCATCTGGTCTTCAACAGTCAATTTAACTAATGGCTCTTGTTAGGATGAAACTCACACGTGAGCAGAAGACAAAATAATCATTTAAACAAAGAGAGAAACCTTTGCAATAACAGGTGAGGACAAAAAGATCAGCTGGAAAGGAAGGTCAGCCCTCCGGAATATTTTGACTAATTTTTGAAAGTTTCTTGGAATTGAAGGTTGTGCCCATTTGAATAGTCACCCATGGCTGGCCCAAGGTTTAAGCTTGGTAGACAATCAAGAACACTGCGACTAAAGCAATTTAAAAGAATATAAAAAAAACCCTAGAAACCACACCAGAACTGGCATCAGTCTCCACCGCTTGTGTCAAGGACACACGAGGACCCTTAGGATAATGCACCCGGTCTTACTTAATGCCTTTGGCTTTCAGGACGAGACGGGTTCGCTCTGCAAAGGGACAGAAGCGCATGCTGTAGAGACGGATCAGTCCTTCTGGGACGGGGCCTGGAGCGGCACTTCCTGGAAGACAACAACGCTGCTCTGGTTATTCGAGGCTCACACACCTTCATCTGAAAAGCTCTTATGCTTTCCCCTAACAGGGATAAAAAGAAACCTGCACATGGGCCAAGGGTGGGAAATGGCACATGTGTATAACAAGGGGTGCTGGTTGTAGCCACGTTGGCCTAAGGACTTAGGCAGAAAAGTTCTTTGGGTAAGTGTGATATCTTTTATTAGACCACTTGAATAGTTGGAAAAATTGTTCTCTGCAAGCTTTTGGGCACAAGCACCTTTCTGTGGCAGAGGGAGAGGCAATATTGGCTTCTGTTCCACCCAGGAGAATACAACACCCCAGCAGACTCTCCCTATGCCTGAAGAAGGGTATCTGCGCCCAAAAGCTTGCAAAGAACAAATTTTCCAACTATTTAGCTGGTCTCATAAAAGATATCGCATCTACCCAACGAACCTGGTCTGCCTCTGCGTGTTTACTAGAACCTGGGAGCAAAAGCTGATCTCAGAGGACTTGGTGTCGTAGGGTAACAGGGCTTGTGAGAGCCTCTCTTGCCCTCTTAATTAGCCCATTCCTTAGGGAGCAGGTGCCAGGGGAACAAGGGCTCTATTAAGACGGCAAAGCCCTGCAGAAGCAGCTGAGTGCCAGGGTACAGCCTGCATGGAGACAGGGGTCCCCTGCCTGCCCCAGGGGCCACCTCCTTGCAAACCAGGGCAGGGCCAGAGGCTAACACGGCCCTGCCAGCAGGGGCAACACAACCCCAGGCTTCAGACACACCACGGCACAGGGCCCTTCTGGGGCACAGACCCAAACGCACTGCCCTGGGAAAGGGGCACCCACATCCGGACAGATGCAACCACAGATCCGGGGCAAGGGGATGGGTCTGCAGCTCTACAGAGACGGGGTTGCACAGGGGAGAAGGAAGACCTGCCCTGCAGAGGGCAGGGCATCGCCTGCACCGGGGAAGATAGACAGACAGTGGACTCATGCTGCAATGCAACCCTCCAAGTGGGGGGAGGAGAGGGGCTGCAGCCACCACTCAGTAGAGATGCTGAGACAGTGCAATGCCATGCAATCTCATATATACCATAGATTTCTTGGGTCAGAAGGGGCCTACCTATGCAATGCCATACAATCTATGCCATGCAATATATGCACCATGCCATGCCATGCAAAATATACTATGCATAGCATGCAATATATACTATTCAATATATGCGCCATGCCATGCAATGCAATACATGCAAGGCCGGGCCAGGCCACACAGCACAATGCAACGCGCTTCCTGCTCTCCCCGCGGCCGCGCAGAGCGGCTCAGCAGCGGCAGAGGCCGGCCGCGGCACTCACCCTTCCCCCGGCTCCGAGACATCTCCAACACTGCCTCCCCGGGGACTGGCGCGGCGCCGCCTCCTTCCGTAGCAGCCAAGGTGCCTCCCCCACGTGCAGCCGGCTGTTAAAGGGGAAGGAGGAGCCGCCCTTCCCTGCTGCTGGGTGGAGGCTACGAGCCTTCCCGGCAGGCCGCGGGGGAGCAGCAGGAGCGTGCTTCCCGTGCACAGGGGACCCCCATTCCTGTTCTCGAGGCACCGTGGTGCAGAGCCAGGAGCCTAGGGGCTGGGGCTCTGCCATGAAATGCCTGGGGCGGCTTCGTCACCTCTCCGTGGCTCTGCGTCTCCACCTGGACACCGGTTTTCCAGCTGCGAGCTGGCTGGAAATCACAGAACAATAGAAAAGTTGGGTGGGAAGAGACCTCAGGGGGTCACATCTAGTCCAGTCCCCTGCTGCAAGCGGGACTAGCCCCAACGACATCACCCCAGCCAGCACTTTGTCTACCTGGGTCCTTGGAAGAAGGGTGTTTCCCAGCTCTGCATTCATGGGGATGGTCTTGGGGCAAGACTGTCCCACTGCAGGAGCTCAGAGCACGTAATCCACACCTGTGTTGACCCGGGCCCTTAGACGAGATGGGCAAGGTGCAGTGCAGTCTTACTGGCGCAACTTGTCCAGGCGGGAGAGAGAGGGGACGGGATTTGGGTGTTCAGAGCTGCCGTCAGCTCTGGGAAACAAATAGTCATGGTTCAAGCCGAGTCCCGAATGGTTTTTCTGGGATGGTTGGATTGCACCAGCCCTCCATGCAGGGGATACCATTGATGCTGCCTGCAGCCTTGAATGCTGATAGACATCTCTGCTTCGTGGTAGAAAGAGAGACCAGGAGCTCAACTATTGAGGGGGGCACGGTGGATCTGGGGTGGGCTTCCTTAGATCGTAGCTTGGCAAATATGTGCAGGTTCACGCCGAGTAAACCAGGTGCAGATGTGAGCTGCAGCAGAACAAGAGTGTAGGCAGATCAGCAGAGAAAAGTGGGTAAAACAAGGCAGCATGAAGTGACATGACCCCAATCACAGTAACCTCATTTTTTCTGTTCTGTCAGGGTAGGCACTTGGAAGGGGAAGATTGTACCTGGCCTTGCCGTGGGTGCACAATGCAAGCAGGAGAGGGGATGAGAAGCCATCCTTTTATGCGATTCAGGGAAGGACCAGGTAGCACAGTGGTCCCCGAGATGGACTGAATGCTGCTGAATACTCCCACTGGGGCAGCCAGTGAAAGCTTACGTTTGTAAGCCAGCCTAGGCCTTGGGTATGCCTCATGGGGAGTTTTTAGTCTCCTGACATCCCTTTGTTTCATTTTCCCATTGACCTGGCCCTCAGTCATAGCACGGTGCCACACACAACTGCATCTGCTGTGGATCGAAGAGCAGGAAAGGCAGGTATTAGTGAAGGGATCCATGTCAGCTCAGACAGCAGAAACTTCTGGGATCCTTTAGTACCATCATTTGAATCCTACAGTTCACGTTCAAAAACCTGCCTGCATTTTTTGCTCAGTCATTGCTGTTTGATTATCTAACTTCTCTCGTCCATCAACCATGTTCCAGCAAGAGGGTGCGGCGCACGCAGCCCAGGCACGCCGAGTCCAAGGCAAAACAAGCCATGCACGAGCTGTTTCTTGTCCCAGGACCTCCTGCATTCACACGGGGGATTTTCAGCCACCTTCTACCTCAATTTTACAAAGCAATTCTGTTAGGGGAAGTATTTGTTCTTTGGGTGCTGCCATTTAGCCTGTCTACCTTCCAGGCTGAGGGTTAAATATGGAAGTACTGTATTACTTATGGCTCTGGAAGAGGGATTCACTTGAATGATTTCACTTAGCCTGTTGCATGCTGATGTGTGAAGTAATTAGCAAGGACACAGGCAGCCTGATCACTCCCAGGATGAAATACAAAGGGCAAGTAGGAATCTGAATGCACAGGTGAATAGCATGAAATCTGAATATTGATATAGCCACTACCCAGCAGCTTTGAAGATGGTATGTAATATTGGCCACCTGTGGAAGTGGAATATATGTGAAGCACTGCATAGCCAAGGGTTGCTTTAACCATCATAGCTTCAAGTGTATAACCCCTAGCCAATTCCTTGATGAAATCTCCATAGGGGGAACCCAGTTCTTCATCCTATGGGGGTATATGCAGCCTGCCAAGTGATCTGCATTTTCATGACACTCAGTATAAGGTGTAGGTTTGTCCTGCTGGCTTTGACCAGAATTTCCACTCTTCCCACCATGATTGCACAGTGCTGTGGGTGCATCTCACACAACTGGCCCTCGGTTTTCTAAGGGTCTCTGAGCACTTCGGTAATACAGATAGATAATATTAAAAAAAAGGAAGAAAAACAGACAAGCCCCAAGCCCTATCAAACTAATCCATTGACTTCGCCCTCTAGGAAAGAATCAGAAAGAGATTGTTACGGTTACTCCTGTTTTTGCAAGACTAGGGTGGCTTTTAATGCTATAATGATGGAAAGACATAAATACAAAGGTTGCAGATCTACGCGTGTCGTAACTCCTCTACTTTCCAGTGGCTCATTTTTCAGCGGCTGTCATTGTCCAAAATGCTGCCAGACCAGATCTCTCCTAGATGCACTCTCTTGTGAAAAGGAGAATAAATAGAAGAGAAGCCGTGCAATTATCTTGGTAGGTGACAGACACCCTAAATCCCTCTTTGAATGAGCAAGGGAGTGAGTGGCTGTGCGCTCGCATGGTTGCAACAATGCTGAAGCAGGAAGAAACGCTAAGCTTTCTCTGAGCCCTCGCTACCTCTCTGCCCGGGGGAGCTATCCGGTTTCTGGAGGAAGCAAGAATTTCTGAACCCGTTAAAAGAGCTGGTAGAACGTGTAGAGCAGCAATCCTCAACCTTTTTTTAGACTCAAGGTGCTCCTAGTCAGACTCAAGGCACCCCTTGGGAAGTGCCAGCTCTTAACTTTCCCTCAACAAAAGAAACAATAGAACAATTCTCCTGCTGCAACCCCCCCCCAAAAAAACTCCAAAAGGCCAGATTTTGTTCACAAAAAGATTCACCGTGTGAGTTGCATGTGGGTGTTGCACCCCTAAATACTGCAGATCACCCCCCAGGCACCCTCGAGAGCATCTCATAGGACCCCAGAGTGATGCAGCACTCCCCAAAGTTGGGACTCCCTGGTGTAGGAGGAACTGCACCTTCTTCCCTCCAGCAGTGGGAGTGGGATTAAAAATAATAATAAAAAAAAAAAAAAAAAAAAATCACTATTTAATCAATTGATTGCTACAGTCCCAAAGTCCCGCCAGTATATTGGCTCTCAGGAAGAAAGTAAGACTCAGAAAGGGCTGGCTTCAGGCCCAAAAGGCTGCACAGCACATTCCCCACCCCATCACACACTAAATGGGAAGAGAAAATCTCCAGGCTATAGAGACCCCGCGCTGGCCCTTTAAAACCCTCTCGGTCTCTCATTGGTTGCTGGGAGCGCAGGCGGAACCAATCATCGGCCCGCTTAGTCGGCAGGCTAGGCGGAAGCCTCCCGCTAGCCAATAGTGGAGCGCGTTGTTGTTCCTAGCCGACCGAGGTAAACGGCTGGGCGGCCATGTTGCGGAGCAGCCCGGACGAGGCGGACGGCGGCAGCCGGCTCCTCACGAGCGCGGCGGCGCGTATGGAAGTGAGGTGCGGGGCGGGGACGTCAGTCCAGGGTGGACTGTAAGCCCCAGGCCTTAGGTTTATGCAAATTGTGTCATATTGTTTTTAAAATAAACGGAGTGTTAAAACGATTGTTGAACGCTCACTTGTTTTTCTCCAAAGATGGGTTCAGGGATTCACAAACAGGAACGTTGGTTTTGTCAATCACGAGACCATCTGCTACCCCTGCGGCAATTACATCCTTTTTGTTGACATCGAAACAAAGAAGAAGACAGTGCTGCAGTGTAAGAGTGGCCGTGTGGGAGCCTTTGCAGTGAATGGAGCCAGTGGAGTGGTGGCTTTCTCAGACCAGAAGCTCAACCCCGTCATTTATATCTACACTTTTCCAGGACTGATTAACTGGAGAGAATTAAAAGGTACTGGTGGGAGTATCCTTCTCTGTCCTTATTCTATGCACATATTAAATCGTGAGCACCTGAAAGGTGTTCCCGTGAGACTAGACCCCTATTGAAGTAGTGTGGTAGCAAGCTATTTAATGGCAGGGGATTCAGGGAGCAGTGAAAGAGTTTGATGCTGCTTTCAGTTAAAGTCCCAACCTTTAGACAAACAAAAACCTCATTGGATTTGTGAGCACAGCCAAAATCTGAAGGCTACGGCAGTATTAAGGGCTAGTCCTGTTGTTGCAATGGACTGCCGTGGGAACAGGAATGGCTCCCAAATCAGCAGTGCTAGCAGCTTTGATCACATCATCTGGATCAGTCTTTAATAAAATACCCATTAATAATATTGTTTCTTTTCTGTCAGAAAATGGAATTTAACAAATATGCGCGTGGCTTTTTGTAATAGTCTAAAACGGTGTCATTTGATGTTTTTATGGCCCGTGCTTCTGAAGTGGTAAACTGTCAGACCTGTCCTTCCTTGACCATTCTCTATGAAACAGAAAGTCTTACTCCATAGAAAGCAGAAGTTGGTTTAGATTGGTTCTCAGTAGTTTAATTGCTGGCTACATAACTTTGGTCTTTTAAAGAGAATTCAACACTTGAAGAATGATGTCAGTCTTCCCTCACAAGACTTTATTTTAAACAATAGAAATAAGATCAGGTAAACAAAATCCTTTGAAAGACAAAAGTGCCTTTCTCGAATTAGGAAGGTGTATTCACTAAAAAGCAAAACACCGCAGCCTAAAGACTCTTCTTTAAACCTGGTGTGCAGTGCACAGATGCAAGTCATCAGTAATTTGAGAGGAAAAATGTATAGCCTCAGTAAAAGAGGGAATTTGACAACAAGCATTTCAAGAGCATGAGCACCTAAAGTAACAACATAAAAGGCTTCATATTGCATTATACCAATGGTCCATCTAGCCTAGTATCCTGCTTCCAACAGTAGTAAGTAGTAGGTGGTTTAGAGAGAGAGTATATCAACAGAGCATGTGGGAATGGAATTGCTGAGGGAGAAGGGGCAAAATGGAATTAAATTAAAGGAAAATATAGACTTAATAAGAGAAACATTTCCTACCAGAGTTATTAGACTAGGTAGTCTCCCAAGGAAAGTGGTGGAAACCCCATCTTCTAAGACATCTGAGATGAGGGAGGACAGATATTTCCTGTGGTTCAAAGCCTGGAGGTTCAATTTATTTACTTGTCCATGCCACAGTCTTCCTGTCTACCCTTGATTAAGTCAGTATCTGAATTTTGGTGTGCCACAGTTTCTCCATCTGTAAAGTATTTCTTCTCTACTTCATGGAGAAGTCAATGTATGAACCAAACTTCACAAAGCACTTGAGATGCATGGAGAGTAAGCACTGTAGAAGTCCAAAGCATTATTAAAACTAGATGGGAAGCCCCCATCTTTTTTTAAGAACCCATTATGAAAATTGGCTTTATGTGGTCACAACACAATGAATGAGCAGGAATAGATCAAGCATCAAGCCTGTGGCACAGATGGAACAAAGTATTAGAATTAGATCTATGATTGTCCAATGTGAACATGTGAAGTCCATGTCCACTGTGAAGTCTTTATTTTTATATTCTAGGTCAAGCTCAGCTAGACTACACCTTACTTGCGTTCAGTTACATGGGTCCATACCTGGCCAGTTATTCGTCAGTTCCAGAATTTGCCCTTTCAATCTGGTAAGTGTCAGACACATTTCTTTAATGCTGAGTACAAACCATGAAAACAAGCCATGGGCAGCAAGTTAACTATCTGATCAGTCTTGGAAACTGAATATAGAGGTAATTGTGATAAGAAGGTGGTCTGTTGGCCAAGCATAGTGCTGGTAGCTGGGAACCACTAAATTCTGACACTGACCATCTGTGTGGTCTTGAGTACATCATTTAATTCTTATTAGGTTAATCACTGCAAAATGTGGATAATAAATCCCAAGACTCTCAGGCTTATGTAAGGATTAATTAGTTAAAATGTGTAAAGCAGATTGAAGACACAAAGTGCTAAATATTTGTTTTCCCTTGGGAGTACTTGGCACTCCTGTTGAGTCTCTTTAAGAATGCCCACTGTTTCTGTTTAACACATCCCCCCTCTTGATGTCTTATGCTGCAGTTTCCAGCTGGGATTGGGGATGTTTGCACAGAGACAACATGTGCGTCTTGTTTGCTGCTCAGTTTTACAGACATCTTGGCCTGTGAAGGAGTGGGTTGGGAATATGGAGGCTGCTGCCACCTCTAGAACTCGAGTAAATAAAACACTGTAGCCAGTTCTCAGTGCCTGATGGAGAATAAAAACATTCAGCAAGTACTGTGCCTGTGCATACCAGCCCAGGAATTAGGTTTAAATGTACTTCACAGCTGATAAAATGTGTCAGCCAAACAGGAGTCTGCCCTGAAGAGCTTACAATCTAAAATATCAGAGGTGGTTAGCCATGTTAGTCAGAGGTCAAGCAGCGGGTAAGACAGAGTGGCACCTTGGAGACTAACTGGCTCAGAGAGGCATGAGGCAACAACTCAGTTCATCAGCTGCATCTGGCAAAGTAGGCTGTGACCTATGAAAACTCAGTTAGTTTGTAAGGTGCTACCCTAACTTACTTTCTACCAGTTGAAAGCTGTGAATAGCCACTATTCAGAACAAAATTAACATGCTTGACCCAGTGTATCTCTCTGCACATTTAAAACTTCCACCAGTTCAAAAGATTCCCCTCACCAAGAAACATTCCATATCTTTAAAACAGCGAATGCCCCTGGAAATTGTGAAACATATTGAAGTTGTCCAAATTTCCAAGACCACCCACACTGCAAGCCTATTCATGAGCAAAGCAATCACAATGAATGTGATTTCAGGAATGGAATGATTTACAATTCAAGTTTAAAATAATTTATTATGAACTCAAGATATTCTTACAATACTAGGGCTTGATTCTGCAATCATTTTCTCACAGATGCCTGATACTCATTGGAGGATCAGGGCTTTTATCTATGCTGTCTGATTACAGTGTGCATTTATTATAGAAATAGCATCTTTGCAGGATGGAAAACAGCAGAATATGAAGTATTGTTCTTCTGTGATTGCAATATGCTATTTGCACAATGTCTGAGTCTGTACTTTATGCACTATAGTCCTTGCATTGTTTGCTATGCACAGATAAAAGAAATGTTTTGGAAGTTAACTCAGGCTTGAAGTATAGAAAGCCTATGGATAATAAAAGCTGCTTTTCATGGGAGATATTTTATCCCTAGATCTGTCTTCTGTTTTGTTCAAAGCAGTGACTCGGTGCCAGATTCTTTTTCAGATGCATGCAATATATCATTTCAGATCTTAATAAATTAACCACTTTAAAAAGATCTTGGCACTGGTTGTTCTATATGAGTTCAGAACATAATGGGAGATCTTTAGGGAGAGACCTACATTGACTTTTTATGTCAGAATTTCAGCTTATAACTTATTAATGGAAATTATTAAACATGTGTGAAGACTTGTGCCTTTTTTGTTGTAGGGTGCTATTAATATTAACCATTGTCTTGCTTCCTGATAGGTGCCTGTGAGTGAATTTATCACAAACTATTCCAGCAGGATTCTACTAAATCCAATTATAGCAACATGTATACACTACAGTACTTCTTCATTCCAACCTTTGTGGTACAAAATACAGCAATAATTCTATCTCCAGATTCCGGTGGCATGCTTTATCATTAGCTTTAAATTGTAAATGTAAATGTTCAGTATGTTGCAATCAAATATATTGTTCAGGATATTACAAAATAATGCTTATAGTTCTCCTCCAACAAGTATAAGCATATAAAAATAAATGTTTTCTTTTTAATAATAATTGTAGCATTTTTCAATCACAAGTCTCAAGCTTGTAAGCTTTATATATCCTACCTCTATTTTATAAAAAGGAAAACTGAAGCACAGAAATGGGGGTAGGGAAGTAACTTGTCCAGAGCAACACAAGGAATCATTGGCAAGGCCAGGAACAACACCTGTGTCTCCTGCCTTTTGTCTAATGCCATGTTACAGAATATAATATAAATAAATTAAATCTAAATTGGCTTTGCACGGCACCTCTTTCAGAAGTGTCTCGTTTCAATGCTTGTGAGATATATATTCCTAGTAGCAATGATATTCACTGTATATGTCAATAATTATTCAGTATCTCTTTTAATTCCCATCAAGTGGAATTAACCTGATTAACTATAGAACGTGTTTGTCAGTGACAAAGGGCCTGACTCCTGAAAGGCATTGGACATCTTTTATCCCCAGGATCATCTAGCAGACCCACTCCAAATGGCTGGTCTGAATTTCTTGAGATTACATTACATTACATTACATTACATTACATTAGTTTTTTTCTCTTTCTCGAAGGAACTGGGAAGAAAATGTTCTTCTGTGCAGCAAATCTCAGTTGGGTATGACAGCAACCTCCTTGAGCTTTAATCCTCTGAGTTGGCACCAATTGTGCATGTCCAGTGAGAGTTCCATCACTATCTGGAATATTGAAAGGAGTGATGAAGAGCATCATCTCAAGCCAAAGTAAGGGACAGTCCTGCCAGGCTAAAATAAAATTTCTGAGACAGCTTTATTTTAGTGTCTAGAGCCTGTGACCTTGTTTTCAATGGGGGGTCAAAGATAGAGACTGTGGGTTGGATCCAGCCTGCAGAGCCCCGTCATCCATCCCCTGGTGCTACCTGTGGGTCTCAGAGTTGACCCACATGCCACCCATAGTGTGTGCCTGATTGGCCACACAGGGCCTGGGACTGTACCGCAGATAGCGCCTGCTTCAGTGAGCTGGGGATCCAGGTTGCATGCAGTGCCCGTATGGGGATGACTGGGGACTGTGTTGTGTGTGGTGCTTGCCCTAGCTGGTTCAGGATAGGTGCTGCATGCATCATGGGTCCTGGGCTGGCTGGAATGGGTGTCTGCCCCAGTCAGTTCAGGATGGGTGCTGCCTACACCATGGGTCCTGTACCACCTGTGCTGGATCTGGCATGGGAAAAGTGAAATTTGTGAGCCTGACCTGAATCATGGACTGCCTGTGTGCCATTCATCCAGCCTGCAGGGCCAGAAAAGTTTGACACCCTTGGTTTACAAAGAATCTGGATCTAATTAAGATTAACTGACAACCACTTAAGTCGCATCCAGTACAAATCTCCCTATTGGCTTATGTGCACAATGGTAGCAGTCTCCACCAAAAGGCATAGATCTGAATCGGAGAGGCTAGACTTCCTTCCCAATCCTGCAAGTGGTTCTGCTATAGCTCAACTAAGGGCGTTGCAAGGGAGCTCACTCTGCTGCTGTTGCCTGGGCTTACTCTGACTGGAGAGGTTTTTTTGAAATGAAGACCATCTGGTGAATGAAATGTATCTATTTTAGAGTGTAGCTGTAGTCACAAATAGGCTCTGCAGAAAAACTACTTAGGGTCTCATGTCTGTTTTCTTTGTGGCGTCCATATTCTGTGCGAGCAACGTACAGGTCTAAAGATGCTTTTACTATCAGTGTGATTCACTGAGCGTTGCAAACTTAGAGATCATCTACTTAAAAGGTTTGCTGCTTTAATTATGCTGATGTAATAATGGTATATCTGTTATATCTAATTCCAGTTGGGAACTGAAATAAGCTGTCGGATGCCAGGTATCTTTCTGTTAGTATAACTGCACTTATACCAGGGCTTTTAACAACAGAACTAAATAAGCAGAATATCAGAAATATACTGGTAAAAACTATAAGTAGGATTTGAAAATGTAGCTGGGTTCTTTCTGCCTTTTATCATTATGGTGTCCACATGAAAATATGTTGCTATACTACTTGTTCTCTCTTCATTCCAGTCTTCAGGGGCTGGCCTTGGCTTGAGGAATCTTTTTATTTATCAATTTTTACATAAAATTTCAATGAGTCATAAATCAGCATGTTTCTTAAGCTACACATATACCCACCCCTCTCCATTTAATATTCTGACTCTAACTGAATCCCAGCCAGAATGCAACCAGGAAATGCTTCTCCTTAGAGCATTTTTCATTTTTAAAGCACTGTACACACAATAGTAGGAATGTTCTGAAAATTGCTAGTTAGATAGGTATCCATTATTAACTCCTATTTACAGACAGGAAAAGCTGAGACACAGAACAGTTATTTGCCCAAGACGAGAAGGATTTGATACCAGGAGTAGATATTGGGCTAGAATGTGGAAGTTCAAATGACTGTTATTTACAGTATTAATGAAACCATACATGTCATGTAAAATGGTTATTTACAGCTGCATTTCTTTGAAATAAAATGGAGTCTTTTCTACTAGGATAGTAGCATAGGATCAGTGTCTCCTTGCTCTGTATCAGCATTTACTATTAATAAGTACTTCCTTAATTCATGTGCTATTCCTCTTCTTTCTTTCTTCTTTTTGTGCAGGCCTGTGCAACTTCCTGCTGAAGATGGGTCACAGATCTTTAATCAGAATCCCTTTTTTTCACATCCTGATACCCAAGATGCATACTATGGCCCTGTACTGCCAAATTCTGCTATTGCTGGGCTAATTGGGGATGAAGCAGAGCTATTCAGGGTAACTAGTGCTCTGTATCTAACTGGTAATGCAAAATGTTATGATTGTAACACTGCTGATGGATATAAACAAAATCCAGGACTGAAAGCTTGCCGAGCTGGCATGGTCCTATAAAAGAGTCTCTTCTCTCAACACTGTTTGATACTCACATTAACATTACAATTACAGTCTCATGGATGGTTTTGTATTTTAAACAGTCTCCCAGTTAAATCCCAGGAGGTTTAACCTCACCCTTTTAAGTTTTCAAAGGGAGCTAAAACTAGCTAATATGCGGTTCTTGTTTGAGTGGCCTCCGTTTGTTCCCATTTGTGGTATCAAGCTGTGGAATTACTCCAGCAAGCAGTTCTACTGGGACCACTCTCCATTCTTTTTGCCCCTCAGAGACTTACCAGAGTATACAAAGGAGAGTGGCCCCAGATACCCTTCAGTTCATTATCAGTGAGAAAACATGCAGTGAGCTTGAATCACACGCATGTCCTTGCTGCTTTTTCATCATCTTTTAATTGTGCCCCTAGGGAATATTTTCTTTCTAGTTAATTAGATTAATAGTTAGTTAGCACACGTTTTCTCCACTTGGAGACATAACAAACACATTTTTCCTAGCAGGCACTGGTATCACCTGGGTGATATACAATGGTGGAAGGGTTCGTCACACCCTTTTACTGCCTGGCAAGGCTTCTCAGGGCCAAATAACTTAAGTATAAATTCAGCACTAACTCTGGACATTTTTTAACCTAAGTGGCTCTGCACTGGCTTTCTTGGATCTGGTCCCAATATCTGTGATGGGTAAATGCCATCAAAGTGATACCAAGGTCCCCAGGCTTCTCTCAAGTCTCCTGTTTCAGGAACAAAATCCCTGTTTTCTAGGTTGATGTGATATGGTGCTGAGGTTCTAGCACTGTTCATGCAGTGCCAAGGTCCAGGGGTCCCACTGAGGTGATTTGATTTAGTTCTTATTTTCCTGGCATTTATTCTTTTCTGAGGTTCTTGGGTCCACTCTTGAGCTAATTTAGCACTGACATCTCGCGTACACTCATGTACTTACTTGTATCCTTATGGGTTAGTTTTATTTGGTTCTGACTTGGGTCCAGCATGTAGGGCTCAGGATTAGGGACCACAATATATTATTTAAATGGTCTGGTCTCCATTATACGTTATATTAGTGGGCATATCTACATGTGCATTAAGGTGCTTTTTCCTAATGCACTTTATATTTAGTACCTCTAATGTGAAGTACTAAATATATGCACATTTAGGCTGCCCTAATGTGTAGTACTGAAAGCGCATACTTTTTAAGTGATGCTTAACATGCAGTAGCCTATTTTACTGTGCATTAGCTTATTCGCACGTTATTTTATGTAATGCTTTAATGCACAGTAAAATAGGCTACTGCGCATTAAAGTGCATGTGTAGATGTGCCCATGTTGTCATAACTGTTTGACTCATGTAAGGGCATGGGCATAAAAAAGAACGATGGGTACTTCCTGTGTGGATGATTTTCACTTGCACTAAATGGAAGTTAATCCATGATATTTTATCCCTCAGTGAAAGAAGGGATATGTAACTTAATCAGTGCTCTCAAATTCTCATTCCCAGCCTCAGGCAATTTCCATTTCTATCTCAAATCAACAACTAATGTTGGTCTGTATTTCTCCAGTCTGTCCTAGATCCTGTTAAAACCTAAAACCACAGAAGACCCCCAAGAGGGCATTTAGTCCAATCCCTATGTTCCGCCTGTATATATCTCAAAGGTACTCCTCTAATCCAAAGGCGGCACCTATTACAGAATTCTTGTATTTTGCATAGAATTTGCAAGCTCTTGATTGTAGCATTATGTGTAGATTAAATATAGTTTGTTTTTTACTGAGATCTCATGGGGAAAAATGAAACAGTTATTACCGACAATATTCCCTCCCTCTCCAAGGAAGAAGAAAACATGCACAGCTCTCCATGGGTTGAGAGGTAGGGGAGAAGCTCTCCGCAGGCTTGTGTTGTCCAAGTCACAATCAAGCCAATGCCCTTTTTTTACTAGTTAAAGGAAGAAAATATAACTGATCCATTTTCAGCTTCTACTACTTAGCAGCTTAAACTGCCAAGCCAACCCCTGCACAAACTGATCGGCACGCCTGTGAAAGGTATTTCTTTTGAAGTAAAGACTTATCAAGAACCTTTTGTTGAGGGAAATGCAATGTCTAGGTGGCAAGCTCAGAGTGTTTTGCTCACCCAGAGAACTGCAGATTATGATCTATTTAATAATCCTGGGCATTTCAGGAAGAAAAGTATTGTAAATACTGCTCTTTGGGCTTTTTGCTGCCTCTTCCACATCAGCGTTGTGCTGGTTACACACAATACCAGCAAGTAGTTAGTATTATAAATTAATTGGATAGCATCACAAAAAGACATGAGCCATTCTCTGACCTTTTATATCTTTACACAGACAAATAAATAGGGGTTTTTTTCTTCCCTTATGCCTTGTATACTTTAATAAGGCACAGTGAGGATGTGCTGCCCTTCATGTGGGAGTCGATGGGAATTCTTCTGCTGAATTAAATGGGAACAGGAATGTGCTGTGGACAAAACTGGTCTTGACAGAATTCCATAGAAAAGTAAATTTAAATGTTTTGTCCCTACGTCTGAATCAGCTGAGGAACATGTTTTACGCTTGTATTTTTGGAGATCCATTGCTCCTACGGTGCTTCACAAGGTGATGTGGCTGAAGATCTAACCTAGTGTAACCACAATGGGGCAGCAGAATGAAAGGAAATACTGGCCCACATCCTGTTTCTCCTCTAGGCTGCCCCTTGCCTCATCTCATAAGCAAACTTCGTTACCTCCTCCCAGGAGAGATGATCCTGTTCCACCTCTAAGGTGGCTGGGGACCACTAGGCCATAGAGTCCCGGTCCCTCTGGCCCTTGTATCTTGCACTCCTGGTGGCTCAGCTTCAGCAGGAAGTTGAGAGATGGTTTCCACCCAACTTGGCTTATAGCCTTGTTGTCAGGGCAATCTTCTGGAAAGTGAGAAAGAAATGGGTCTGACTCTCCCATTTTGTCATGGGGGGGAAAGGTCTATATACCAGGTCTCCCATTTCCTGGGCCAGTGTTCTTGCCAAAGAGCTATTGGGCAAAAGGAGGGAAGCACCTCCTGTATTCAAGAGTGGATGGAGGTGCTGTGGCTTTATTTTGAATTCATCACTTGTTATTTAGATTCTGGTTCAGGTAGGCATCTCCCCTCTGACCTGTCTGGATCCCAGTGGAAACACCATCCGTGCAGGGTATCTGATAAAATAGATTAAGTTGAGGCAGTACAACAGTGGTTCTCAACCAAGGTGCTGCATCAGCTGGCAAAGCTTCAAGGATAAGTGGGAGTTCAGATACACGCTAGACCCAACAGTCACACAGGGCAGCTGCAGCCACCTTTCTGCTGAGTGCCTGGGTGACCTGGTTTGCCTTTGGAAGACACCTGTGTTTGAAGCCTAAATGCCTGACCCTGCCAGTTAGTATCTGCTCTTCCCCATTTGAGCAATTTAAGCCCTGTGGCACCTATGTGGAGGTATCTTAAAGGCTGCATAGGATTTGGTACTAAGTGACTTAAAATCACATGGGGGGTCTTTGACAAATCTTGGGCTATTTCTGACTCCATGTCCTGTGATTCCAGCATATGGAGTCACTGCAGACTCTTGAAAGACTCCAGAAATTTTCTAAAATGACAAACTAAATTATTTCACCTTCAGTACCCAAACTACCATCCCACATCTCACCATCACTTCACCAACTATTCATATTGAATTCTTTTAATCTTTCTTCTTAGCTCATCTAAAGATTGTGTTGCTTCTTCACAGAATTTGCATCAGTTTTCTTCTTTCTAGCTATGGTACTTGTAAGGCTGCAATTACTTTAGCACAATATTCTCAGCTAGGGTGCATCAGATAAACCTAATGTAGGAAAGAGCATGCCCTCCTGCTGCAGTCATTTCCCAGTACAGCCCCATACATGCCACCTGGAAACAGGCATGGGGTGGTTTCACCTCAACAGGGTGGCTTGGCAGCCTGGGGAGACAGCTGTTTGAGAACCCTGATTCCATAGATTTATCTCCAGGTTGCCACACTACCACAGCCATGGGAAACTGCCCCAGGCCACACACCTTTGTTTCCAAGAGATGGGTGCAGGGCTACACTAGGAGGTGAGTTTGCTCCTGCTTGCATTTGGATATCTAATAAGCTGAGGCAGTACAACAGTGGTTCTCAGCCAAGGTGCTGCTAAATTCAGAACAGTTATGGATGGGTGCCTTGACCTTAAAAAGGTTCAGAACACTTCTGTAGTATCCCATTGTTTCTCACCCCTCTGACCCTCGTATTTGCATTTTCACTGACCTGCATTCTTGCATACTGGCTCCTGGCTTCTTTCCTATCCAAGAAGAGCACAAAATGACTGGAGATGCTCTCTCTGCCTGAAGAAGAGTGTTTATACCCAAAAGCTTGCAAAGACATTTTTTTTCAAACTATTTTAGTTGGTCTAATAAAAAATATCAGATTTGCCCAAAGAACCCTGTCTGCCAATGTCCTTAGACCAACACAGCTACAACCAACACCTCTGTAGTATCTCAGCCCCTTGCAATTGTTAATGCATTTATTTGAACTAAGCCCCATAACATACAGAAGAGCTATTACCCTTGTTTTACAGATGGGACATTTAGGCAGAGAGAAGATAAGTAACTTTGTCCCAAAGAGTGGTAGAGAGATAAATAGTAATAACAGGGCAGTCTTACGGGACAATCTGGATGGTTTGGTAAGCTAATACCATACAAATAAGACATATTTTAATACAGTCGAATGCTAGATCATATATATGAGTGCAAAGAATACAGACCTTACTTACAAATTGGAGGACTGTATGCTAGAAAGCTAAGACTTGGAGAAGGATTTAGGGTCATAATGGACAAATGGACCTGAGGTTCTAGGGCAATGGAGGGCAAAGAAGGCTGATCTCATTTCAGGGTGTATATAAAGAAGAATAATGAATAAGAATCAGAAAGTGATTTCATCTCTGCATGTAGCATTGATGAGCCTGAGGCAAAACACTGCATCCAGTTCTAGTGTTCACATTCTAAAATAGACATTGAAAAATTAGAGGGTACAGAAAGGAGCCACAAAAACATTATTCAAGGGCTGGAAAAATGCCTTGTATAGAGCAACTTAAAGAGCTAAGTATGTTGAATTTCTCAAAAAAAAAGATTGGCAGATTGAGAGTTAAATTGATTATGGTGTGTAAATACTTTCAAAGAGAAAATGCTCAATACTAAACTCATCCACTTGTTAGAGAAATACATGTATAATGAGAACTAAGGATGAGAAATTAAATCCATACAATTCCAAATGAAACTTAAGGTGCATTTTTTAACAGCGAGGATGACAATGACTGGAGCAAACTACCAAGGGCTGTCAGTATCTTCAGACTAAGACTGGGTGGCCAGCTGGTAGATAATTTGTAGTCATACACAAGTTATTAGATAGCTGTGAAGGGATAAATGAGTGAAATTCTATGGCCTGTGTTTTACAAGTGTTCAGACAAGATGATCTAATGACCTTTCCTGACTTCACGTTTATGTATCTGTGAACAGAAATGTTTGCCAATAATTGAAGGTCATTGATTTTTTTTATATTGAAGCCAAAAGATGACATCCAGCCTTCAGTGCACCCTACTGTCCACTGCTGGAGTGCAACCTCTGACCTGTATGTGGGCTGTGAAGAGGGATGTATTTTGGTGATTAATTCTGAGACACTGGAAACTTCTCTTCTTCATCAGAAATTTCCAACTGGTAAGAAACAGCTGGATTAAGGTGGGGTGTGTATGTACACACACTAGGTCATTTTTCAGATTCATGTTTCTTTTCTTAGTATAATTGTTCAGTTTTTAGAAGAGACAAACCTATTTTTAAGCCCCAACTCCCTAAACACATTTTTCCTTTGACAGAAACACTAAGTGCTTCAGTGCGTTAGTTCATTACAAACAAAATGCGAGTAATTCAGGTTTCATTAGCAACCTTACAGAACTGACAAAAATCATTTATAGGGCAGGCATACAAATCTCATATTATTGTTACTGATTGATCGATCGATTAATCATCTGATCACAAACAACATTTTTGATGTCTGCACTAGAAAATTGTCATATTCTATCATGTTAACTACCATGATACTACAACTTGGGACTCTGCAGACAAGGTGTTTTTGAACAGCATGTCAGTTTGTCATGGTTAATCTTGTGGTAACAGTTGCAGTTTCTACGGACTTGAATAGCATGTAACATAATGTTAGTTAACATGATTTCTCAAGCCCCTGTGAAGAGGAAACAACAGAGAATTCATTCTCTGTCCCAAAGAGCAGGCATTTGTGAATGCACACAGAAAGGGGATTCATCACAAAGCAAAGCTGGGTTACTTTTTATTTAACTTTAAATGAACAACGAATGCATTGTTCATAGAATCATAGAATCAGTGAGTCGGAAGGGACCTAGACAGATCATCTAGCCCGACCCCCTGCCATGGACAGGAAAGAGCACTGGGGGTGGCAGGGGTCATAAGACCCCAGCCAGGTGCCTATCCAGTCTCCTCTTGAAGATTTCCAGGGAAGGTGAGAACACCACCTCTCTGGGGAGCCTATTCCAGGCTCTGGCCACCCTTACAGTGAAGTAGTTCTTCCTAATATCTAATCTAAACCAACCCTCCTACAGCTTGTGACCATTGTTCCTGGTGACTCCAAGGGGGGCCCTGGTGAACAGACTTTCCCCGAGTCCCTGCTGGTGGCCCCTGATACGGGTGTCAGTAAGAAATAATGGTTTAGAAATTCCAAAGCCAACTGACTAGCAGTAACCTTGTTTTGTTCTTTTATCTATAATATACACTAGTTTTAAGGCAGCAGCAAGCAGTGCTGACATGCAAAAATAAGGGTACTTGCTGCAAGCATGGTGGTAAAATCAGATTCGGGTGGGCATCCTCCACAAATTGTCTGTTAATCTTTCACAGATTTTCATAGATTTCATAGACATTAGGGCTGGAAGGG